GATATTATTGGTGCATATTTAGTTCATAAGGACTGCATGTGTAATTCATATCCCATGCATATTTAGTTCATATTGAATGCATGGTACTAGATGCATATTTACTTCATACACATGATGCATATTAGGGGTCAACGGGTCAACGCCGGAAGTCAACGGTCAACGCCGGAGTCAACGCCGGAAGTCAACGGTCAACGCCGGAGTCAACTAATAATTATTTTATTATTTAATTAATATATATTTTAAGAAGTGGACTCATTTTAAGGAGTGTACTCATTTTAAGGAGTGTACTCATTGGATCCTCCCCCTATATATATATATATATATATATATATATTCTTATAAAAGGTATTTAAATTTTCAAACTACTTTTTTTCATTAATTTTAAATTTTAAGATAAAAATTAGCAAGCACCCGTGTAATACACGAGTGTTGTAGTGGTACTTATATATGTTGCATCTAGGGTTACAAGGAAAGTGAGATCAATGGTGAACGCATACCCATCACATCCAACGTCCGACAGCTCATGCACCGTACAATGAATAGAAAAAACAAAAACTGCACAGAAACGGGCAATGCAGTATGTTGAACCGAAAATGTAGTTAACCATCTTTGGACTTGTTAAGGTGCTGCTATTAGGCCCCCACAATTCGAGTATGGTAGAAAGGCAAACATGTAACTTGTCCCCAAGCTATGTGAAGAATTGTCTTGAATGAGGATTGGTAAATAAGTCTACAATCTAGTCAAGAGATGGAACATGTTGCACTTTGACGCCTTTGGTGGGTAACAAGAAGCATAACCCAGATGGGAAAAAGGGACTAATAGGCCGGGCCAGTTCTATTAATCGATGGGTCGTCGGGTTCCAGAAGTCTCATGTTCGGAACGTGTATTTACGCTTCCCCGTGAGCCCACTAACCGGAGCATCAACCTCGATTCTAAGTAGCCTGGTCTCGAATGAAGTGTATATCTATTTCAAGGTGTTTCATTCTGGAATGATGAAAAGAGTTTTGTACTGCAGAGACAGCTCCAAGATTATCAATCCAAATGATTGGAGTTTGTATTTATCTAAGGATACAGCTACATGTATGGCTTTGTATTTATCTAAGGATCCATCTGAGAAGAGTTCAGTTTTGAAGAATGAAAGCCCTTCAGCTCAGTGTTTCCACATGAAGTTGATCAGCTCGACGGGTAATGAACCATACAAAGTGTTCGACTATCCGGTCACAGGCATCGACCTACACCCCGCAGAGACCGACCTTTAACAAGCATTAAATGCTGACAGAACTTATGTTCATCGTACAATCGAAATCATTGAGAGTCAGTCCAGCCTGCAGGGCTGCACGTCCCCATCAAATCGTATTTAATGCCGATGTACTGACCACAGTGTCTGTGGGTTTTGCACTATATATACCCCTCATTTATTGTAATAGGACATAAAGATTCTCTTTCTACAAATCATGTATAATAATATGCCAAGTGAATCAATATATATAAAAAGGTCATCTGACCTCATTCCAGGGTATAAATCTTATTTCTACTTAGGAAATCCTCTCCACTCGTTGACTCATATTTCGCATGTCAACAGCTTGGCGCTAGAAGAAGGGCTCCATCAAATATTTTGAGTAATCTCAACCAACATCAACATAAAAAACACGAAGAAAATGTCTTCTTCAAGCCAAAAAGATCGAGAACTACCTGGGCCGAAAAGAACCACGAAGCCACCCCAAATATCGACTTTGCATCGCATATTCAAATCCCAGATTTAGTAATGGGTTTTTCGAGCCTTTTAGCACAAATCATTCCCTTCCGTCGGGCTGCCCTGAAAACGCCAGTAAAAAAAGAACATGATTCCGGCCCAACACAGAGGCAAAGAGCCGACTCAATCATAAAAGACCTCGCAATTTCAAAGTCACCAAAGGACTACGGAGGACAAAACCTCCGATCGGGTACGAACCGAGAGGATGGGGGAAAGCCTGTCAAAGCCTACGTGGAACACGAAATCCACGTCACTGTCAGTGTTCCAATGGTTGGAAAGGGCGAAAGCCAAACCCGACCTAAGAGAAAAGCTTCTAAGGAGCAAATCGGTGAGGCACGATATTGTCGTAGTCACGGCCCTGAAGAAGAAAATAGCTTAGTGTTCGTTCCATTTTTTGTCGTGTTTTCCTTGTTTATTTTGCATTTATTTTTCCCCATTCTAGGTTATTTTCTTTGATTCTTGGTCCAAATTGTGTCGTGTCTTGCATTTTCTTTATTTTGTTCGTTTTTGGTTTTTCTTGTTTCTTTTTCCCGGTTTTCTGTGTTTTTTTTTTCTTGTCGGTGGTGATGTGCAGGATAGGTAGTTCGATTGGGAAGTGACCATGCGAGGATAATTATCTAGACGGATGAGTTGGGGTCAAGTAGGAAAAGACGGAATCCAATTCCGAGTCCGAATGCGTGGATACGAGCCCGGAAATCACAGCCATGTCACAGAAATCCTTCACCGCGGCCCGCGACAGTGTTCCCGCGGCCGCGGTGAACAAATCGCACAACGCGCCCAGTTTTCTTCACCGCGGCCGCGGAGGAGGAAGTCGCGGCCGCGGAAAGGTCGAGAATTTGGAACCGACGTACAGAGGCGAAAACTTGCGGCCGCGTACCATCCCTTCACCGCGGCCCGCGAGCTTGTCCGCGGCCGCGGAACGCTTGTTTTCCAGAATTTAATAGCAGTTTTTTTTAGAAGATGAGACATTCGTTTTTAGACAAGGGTTTTCGAACTCTCTAGGGATTTTCACCCAAAAACTCAACTTTCTCTTGGTTTCGATCTTGTGATTCGATCTTGGAGAGGAAAACTCCGAGATTCGACTTTTGGATTCAGTTTGCTCTTGTTTTCGACATTGGATTATTTAATCGTAAGCTTTCATTTGGTTTTATTATTGATTGAATGGCTTTGATTATTATGTTTGTTGATGTTGAATGCATTATGAGTAGCTAAATCCATTAGCTAGGGTTAGGGGAAGATCATTTCGGTTCGATTTCGTTCATATGCATGATAATTTCTCAATCCTCTCGAGTTGTGCTTAGCCTAGGGTTTTGATGTTTGATCACCATCTTAATCTAATTAATCGATTTTATAACTGAAAAGGGAGAAATCGGTCGATCTAGGCTCGTTAGGAGTAAGTTTGTTCGTAATAGTATTGCTTATGTGTTGATTGTCTCAAGAATTACTCGTTTATGTCTATCCTCTTGTTACGAAGAGTTATTGAGGATAGATCTCTAGATGAGTAGTTTTGTGAGGCCTTTAACCGAGCTTTTGATTGCTCGTTAAGTGTATTGAGAACCGGAATTGATTGACCCCGATACCCTAGCTCCTTTATAATTATTTGAGTTTGAACTTGTGATTCCTAGTTTTGCCAAGCTTTTCCAATTACTTGTTTTTCAATTCGTAGTTGATAAAATTAATCCAAACCAATCGAATTAGAGTGTTTAGGACTTTTTCATTATTTCGTGTGATTGAATATACGTACAAAATAATCCGGCTAACCTTCCTCTTGATACGACCCGGTGTCAAATCTTTGGATTCTACTCCGGTAAAAATATTTACAACACTTAGCTCGAGGATCGACAAAAGATGGTCCACAAGAAGACCTCCCCACCGCCATCGGGTATGAAGAGCTCGGTGGTTGATGCGGCTTCACCGTTGGTGTCGAAAATCCTGTTAGATCCCCTCCCTGAGAAGGTAAAATTCCCCAAATCGAGCTATATGACAGTAGCTCGGAGCCCAACGCTCACCTTGGCCATTACATCTCGTGGATGGACTTACAAGGTGCTAGGAACGCCATTAGAAGTCGGATGTTCTCGCCCACATTGGCCAAAAGCACAAAGATAGTACCATTCACTTCCCCATCGTTCTATCCAAATGTGGCAGCAGTTGAGGTCAACTTTTCAATTTCACCTAATCGGATCGCTAATATGCATGATCCTAAAGGAGTCAATTACCAACATTGTGAAAGGGATCGAGGAGAGGTTGAAGGATTACATTGCCTGCTTAAACGTGTGTGTACAGAACATGGAGCCATGTCACCAAGAAATGCTATTGGTGTCGCCGTCTCGGCCTTCTCGGGTTTGAAGCGGAACTCCATGGTGAAGTGGTCTTTGTGCCAGAACAAACCTTTGACGTACCGGGACTTCTTATCTCTAGCACAACAACATGTGATTGTGATTGTAGAGGAGTCCATGTCGATCTCGTTCTTTGAGTTGCTGAACAACTCGAATGCGAATGGAAAAAAAAAATGAAATCAAGTCGAGATTCAGCAAAGGACACCCGAACTGCCCAAGTTCGGGCATCGAAGAAGCAGTACCAAGAGGAGTTGAGGACCAACTACCGGAGTGTGTACTCGGATGGCTCGACGACCGTGCATGAGGAGTTGAAAAACAATGGTATTATTCCTGACCCAAAACTAATGCAAGATAGTGAAGGCCAACTCGATAAGTTGAGATATTGTGCATATCACAAATCCATCGAGCATAATACCGACCAATGCTATAGCTTGATCTCTGCCCTTCTGAAGTTAATCGGTGATCCACAAGTAAGAAAATTTGCCAAAAAATACCCTAAAGGAATAAAAAGGGTCGGGCAGATGATGGCATAGACGATGAAGACGGGGATATCGAGGTCAACCCGAAGAGATTGGGAAAACCACCGCCAGATATCTTGACTTTTAGTGGGGGCTAGCAAGAAGCGAGTTCTTCTCGAGCTAGAAAGTGCACACGAGACTCACCACCTTGACTGGACCCCAAGAGAACCGACCAGTCCAAGAGCACCTCACCTGTTCGTCTCGTCAATACTAGCCGAGGCGAACATGTCATCTCTAGAAGACAGGGAAAGGCTTACGCCAGGAAGACATACAATGCTGGACAACAAATTCGGAGCTCGGGTCCCAGGCCAACTTCTGTCGGACGAAGGATGCCGAGCTGCTTGATCATCCTCACTCAGACGTGTTGGTCCAGACTGCACCGATTATCATTATAAGTACTTATAACACTAGTCAATTAAGAAAAAACTTATCAAATAAATAATCCCTCAGGTGAATGTAAATTGTTTGCTTATTTTTTATATCTAACAACATAGGCGATATAATATTTACTGTTGTCGGATGAAATCAGTTTGAACTGGTATTTTAACCTTTTCAATCCTGATCTCATCATCATATATTTATCAACTTTTTCTAGCAAAAGTATCTTTTTCCACACCAAGAAAATCTATGAATCTTATTAATTATTATACTTTGGAGAACAAAATGCAAGGAAATGAGGTGACAACTGACAAGCCACAACATATTCAAGAGTTCCAAATACATCATCAAGCTACAGTCAGGAGAAATGGACAAAGATTACTACTAGCACAAACTAAACTGATACAAAACACTACACACACCTCTAAAACACTAACACACAATCACACACATCTGTCACGGCTAACCGTAAGCAAAGCCCGAGACAAATCTTAGAGCTCCTATATGGGTGAATACTGACTAAACACATTGTTTGTCAGTAGATACTGGCGGTCCCTACTACCATGTCGACTTCTCTTTTTGCATCCATCTCTAGACCTAAAAGCGATCGAGCTCAACCTCGCCTCATCATCATCGCTCGTGCTAATGCACGAGCTCCCGACCCTACTGTCCGAAAATGAAACACAAGAATCCGCGTAAAACCTATTATGCTTTCTTATCGGGCTTGCGTTTTCTCTGTTGCACAATATTCTCTCCAACTGTTTTCTGAAGTCATCTTTTCTCGGGTTTTCGTTCTCATCAGACGGTCTTACGAAACGGTCTTCGATTTCACTTGCGAGTGACTCGACTTCAACTTCATCCTCATCATCATTATCCGAATCTTGACAGGTTGACTCACAGCTTGAATCCATCAGTTGTTGTCGATCAGTGAAATGAGAGGATGATAGTGGTTTGGACCTTGTGGTGGTGGCTGCTGCCTCCTTACGTTCACGAAGCTTTTTCAAGATTAGGGTCTTCAGTAAGTTCATTACTTGAACAGCGTGCATGAGAGCGGTAAGCGGATCTGACATCTGGTGTTAGAAAAAAAAAATCAGGCAAGGAACAAAAATGATGATTGTGAGCTTTTGTTTGCTGAAAGAACAAAGTAGAAGATTTAATTTTTTTCTTTACTTCTTTTTAGGCTATGTTTGTTAACCAAATATGCTATAAACTAGCTTATTTGGTTAGCTTATATGTTTCTTGTATTTATATTAATTTTGTTTGGTTGGAAGAGTTATTTTAAAAAGCTCGAGATTATCTCATAAGCTTTTTTGGGTAGCTTTTCAAATAAGCTCATTAAATTTTATATTTCAGCTAATTTTACCATACACTTTTATCGTATAATCTAGTTTTTTAGCTATAAGTCATATGCTATAAGCTTAAATATCACTCATAAGTTTTAAGCTAGCTTATCAGCTAGTTTTACCCAATATAGCCTTAATGTTAGACTCTGAACTTTTGATTCTACATAAACTAGTCAGAATCTTGAAGTAGGGAAAAGGTACCTAAGATTTTCGACGCCACACAAAATATTTTTATCTTATAGTTACACAAAAGTAAAATCGAGAAAATTTTAGAGGGTTTTCCTGAATCACCTTAGTCATATTGGGCGCAAAAACCATAGCAATATTTCTCGCATTCATTTTGTTGGACTCCTCTTGCTCGACAACATCGGCCATGAGATCGATAGCCCATTCGAGCAGGCAACTCTCGGTTGGCTTGAGCTGCTTGATGAGCCCGACAAACTCCTCTTCCTTATTGCATTGCAACACTTGTTCAGGCGAAAGCCCATCAAGAACACCATTCGGCAGCTCCCGAAACCAGGCTTTGATCAAGCCAGCCAAGCAGTGGACATCGATGTTTTGGGGCACAATGCCTCGGCTGAGCTGGGCCTTCACATACTCCTCTTTACCGTTTTCTGGATTTATCCGGAAAATTCCTTCAGCCTAAATCGTAAAAGCCCAAATGAGAAAACACCCGATACTTAAACTCTTGCTGAGTCCACTACAAATAAAGGACATAAATCGCAACTCAGCACATATCATTAAAAAGAAAGTATTTTTGTTCACCTTTAGACCACCCAATGCATATAATCTCTCTTGCATCATTAACAGAATAGTTGGCACGCTATTGCATCTTGTGTCATAAGACCACTGCATTGAATTGGCCGAGACACCACATACACTCACACTGCACAATCGATTTACACATTCAGTAATAAAAAAACGATTTACAATATCAAAGTTCAATCAGGTAAAAGGCAATAATAGCAGCTTCAATACTGCAAAACATGCAGAAATCCAGATAAACGGGCTGAAATTAGAATGTCCATGTATCCAACTTGTACCAAACACCTCCTAAATCAAATTAACTTGACCAAAGTTACAACATTTGCGGTCAGCAATTCGAATTCCTTTTAAACTGTCCCCAAATACGAAGAATTGCTCAACTCACTAAGAGTTCTCAAAGCCTTTCACCTCTAAAATTAACTTCAACCAATCTATTCAAGATTCCATTTTTTAGCAACCAATCATATTTTTCTTTTCTTTTTCTGGTGATTCATTTGCTCCATAAACTCTATATGTGTCCAAAATATAAGCTCCTCAATCTCAGCAACATTTGATAGTACAATGCATCAGATCTAAACACCACCACCACCACAGTGCTCCTTCGACATATCCAAAGAAAAACAAAAGAACAGCAACAGAAACTCTTTTACTTACTAAAATAACAGAGCATTATAACAACCCAATTCAAAAAATCAATTTTTTTGCACAATAAGAACTAACAGTGGGGCAAAATCGAAAATTTGAAACAGCCCAGATAAGAAATCCTAGGAAAAAAGCAGTCTTTTTTTTTTCCGGTGAATACCTAGCGCTGGGAGGTTGACATGGGATCTCAACCTCGTAGTCGACGGGGAGGCCCAAGAAGCCATGGAACTTGTCGAAGGTGACGTGGGTTACGTGGCGGACGTCGGTGGGCCAGCCGATCTCCATCTGATGATGGACGGGGGTTATCGCCTCCTGGTCTTGCCGACACTTTGACACCATTGATTTTCTGAGAGCGGACACCACGAAATCCAGAAGAGAGAGGTTCTTGTTGCCGCTGTTGTCGGCCGCCGTCTCAGCAGCCACAGCTGGTTTTGAGCGCTTAGCTCCACCACACCCACCGCCTCCCGTCACCATAAATACTCTGCCAGTCATCTTGAAAAAAAATAAAAAAATAAAATAAAATTAAAAGCTGGCTCTTCTTTAGAAGAAGAAGAAGATGAAGGGCTTTGGGTGGAGAGAGAGAGAGAGAGAGAGAGAGAGAGAGAGAGAGATTATTAAATGAAGAAATGGAGAGTTTTTTGAATTTTCTTTGACTGTGTTTAGTGTAGCTGCGGCCTCTGCGCGCATTTATTACAGAGGGAGGTGGGTTCTTTTTATGAGGATTTTTTTTTTTTTTTTTTGAAGGGTTTGTTTAAATTTAAGTGTGATAATAAATTTGAAATTAACTAAATTGTTTAGTTCGTATTCATTGTTCGTTCGGGATGCTTTCGTAACGAAATCATAACATCTCTCTAACTAAACTGTAACATCTCCCTAAATAATAATAGTGTCGTGAATCCATTTATTACACAATGCTTTTTGTGGTTTATGTAATTTGAAGTGAGATATACTGATTTGTTTTGATTTATGATTATTAAAATAGGCCACTAATTTTCAAATTTTTTTGGGTCTGACTGACCACTGTTCAATGGCCGTTGCTTGAACTCTTTTCGTGACGAATAATGGATTTGTTTATTTCGGTTTTGCCACTCAGCTGTTGGGCTATATATTTAGTCGGGTTGGGTCGGGTCGAGTCGGGTCGGGTCGGGTCGGGTTCATCTTGCAAGTTGGGCACCTGATATTTTTACAATTTTTTATTTTATTTTTAGGGGGTAGGAGTAGGACATGGGTCTCACCTGATTTTGGTACCTAAACGCCTTTTTAATTAAATAGTCGGTTCCTTAAGCTTCGCTTTCAATTATCTCTCTTTTATTATGTAATAAATAATAATTAGTACAACACCCGTGTATTACACGGGTACTTGTAAATTTTTTTTCTTAAAATTTAAAATTAATGAGAAAAAAGTAGTTTGAAAATTTAAATACCTTTTATAAGAATATATATATTATTATATATTTATTATGACACTTTTTATTTGTGCAACTTACTTGTGTTATATTATACTAATTTTTTGTAACTTACAATATATAACTACATTACATATAAATATATCAATTGAGAAATAATTTTATTTTTCTTATGAATTTTAATAAATATTATTATTTTTTATTATTATAAAGATAAATATAATTTATTTATTTCATATATACAATATGGATGTCAAATCGAAGATCATCAAAAGATGATTAATTTGATATATCCCCCTATATATTAATACAAAATGCGCTGAGCCTACGTGGCTGCTTCTGATGCTTCGGAATCCTATGTGGCAAAATTACATGCTTCGTTATTAGGCTTGGGTAAATTTTAATTTAATTCCAAATCAAAAATAACTAGGTTCGGATTACCATAAATATGTTGATTATTTATGGTCATGTTACATGTATTAATTGTATTTTAATATCATTCCTTATTATAACTATTGAATTGTATATATATTTTAAAAGTTAATAACTTTTGTATTTTTTATCAGTTTTACATATGTAATATATCAAATTAATCTTCTTTTGATAAGCTTCGATTTAACATCCATATTGTATGTATAAAAAAAATAATTTATAATTTATCTTTATAACAATAATAAAATTATTTTTAATATTAATTAGAAAAATAAAATTATTTATCAACTAATATATTTATATTTCAAGTACTTATATGATATAAGTTATAAAAACTAATATAATATAACACATGTAAGCCATAAGTAACACATATCATTCTAAAATATATAGTAATATATATTTTTTGTAAAAAAGTAAACTAAATTTAATATAATTTTCTCATTAATTTTAAAATTTAAGAATAATTTTTTAACAAGCACCCGTGTAATACACGGGTATTGTACTAGTTATATATGTAAAACCGATAAGAAATACAAAAGTTATCAACTTTTAAAATACATATATAATTCAATAGCTTATTGAAGGAAACAAATCAAAATTCAGGGATATATTAGTCACTTAGTGCCTCACTATGTGAAATTACAAAGAATTAAATGGTTATATTAGTAAAAGTGATATTAAAATACCTAAGTTAACTAAATAATATTTATGGAATACTCGAACCTAGATTATTAATTATTAATATATCAATATTATTTATCCAAACCTAATTACTAATCATGATTCTTCGCCAAATAGGATTCCGAAGCACCAGAAGCAACCACGTAGGCTCAGCGCATTCGGGAATTATATATAGGGAGGATATAATCTGTCAACCAATGCAAAATACAAACAACAAAATTTTCCTCGAATGACATTTTGGCATAAATTATGATGATATTAGAAGGTCTACTAGGCTCAACCTTTATTTTTTTTAACAATATTGTATATTTTTTTATTGCTAACATTCATAAATATATCTATATAGAGAGAGAACCTATTTACCAAAAATAGTAAATAAAAAAGTCTACTAGCATTTATTGCATTCTATTTTTGACACAAATTTTTAATTTTTCTTTTAAATTATTCTCAAAAAAATCGCTAGCTATATATGCACCCTAAATTCATGATCTTTTGTGAATTTAATATAGGTAAATTTTGACTGATGCTTATAATTTTGCTAAAGTCAAAATTCTTTCTCATTTTTTATTATAAAAAAAGACTGAGAACTATAAAATAAAAAATTTTGAATTAGGCAAAATATTATCATATCTCGCGGATGTCTGTCATGGGAAATTTCCAGTGTTGCAGAGGTGGGGCGGGGTTTCTGGCTGTCGCCCGCTGGTGGTGGTGGGCGGGGCTTGGGCCAGCCCTTCTTTTTCCCCTGCTACTTGGCTGGTGTTCCCTGGGGTTGGGGACCGCTGGAAGGGCCACTCGTTGGGGCTCTTTGAGTTGCTCCAGCGGGAGGGCTGCTGGTTGGGGGAATATGGAAGTGTGGGCGTTCGTGGGTTTCTTCGATAGGGAGCGCGTGTTTCGGCAGGTATGGAGAAGGGAGTTTTGAGTTTGTTTCTCGAGCTTTGGTCTGCTTTCTTAGGTTCATTGTCGGTTGTCAGTCTCGAGTTGGTATTGAGGCTCTTCTTCCGACTGGTGGGGAGGGATTTAGTCTATTTGCTAGGTGTGTGTTGTTTGGATTGTGTTTGTAAGTTTGTTTTTTATTTGTGTATTGATTTCTTTTTTTCCTTGTTGGATGTAGTTTGTTTTTCGTGTTTTTAGGTGTCAATTCTCCTGTTTGGAGTCATTTATTCTCTTGTTCGGAGTAGGTTTTTCTCCCCTTGGGAGTTCTCTCTTCTTGTTATTGTGGTGTTTTTTAGTGTGTTATGTTTAGGTTGGTTCTAGCTACCTCGCATGTTGCCTTTGGGTCCTCCCAACTAGATTCGACTAAATAGCTGACTTATTCGGTTGTCTAGCTGCTCTCTAGTGT